TCAGAGTCTTCTTTTTTATGGTTAAGAATTTGCTTTCATATATCATTAGTAGAAGCCTCTTATGAGGAAAAACATATATTAAGCAACATGATCATAGCTTTTTCTCATGTATCTTGTGTGTAGTTATATATATGATATAATTAAGAAAACATGAAATTAGGAAGAACAGAAGTTTGGTGTTAGACACCAACCATTTTTATACAAACAAAATAATAAAAAAACCTCATTATATCACCTTTGCATTTCATCACTCATCACATTCACAATTCTTCTCTCTCTCTCTCTCACACACATCAATATATATTTGTCTTTCTCTCTCTTCATTTGATAGATTTGAGAGGAGAGAGAGGGAGAAAAAAATGGGAGAGATGAAGAGTATGCAAATGGGTGTGATTGGAGCATTGTTTCTATCAGTTGCATCTTCTGTCTCCATTGTCATTTGCAACAAAGCTTTGATGACCAATCTTGGTTTCCCTTTTGGTAATTACTACTTTCCTCTTTATTACTTTGTGACAATATATGTTGTAAGATCTTTATCAAAAACCCGATTATTCGTCTTAGGATTGATCGTTTTTTTCGCTATGGTTTTGTTACAGCAACAACACTTACAAGTTGGCATTTGATGGTAACATATTGCACACTTCATGTGGCATATAAACTAAACTTCTTTGAGAATAAACCAATAGACGTGCGAACTGTTGTTCTCTTTGGCCTTCTCAATGGCATCTCCATTGGTCTCCTCAATCTCAGCCTCGGCTTCAATTCCATCGGCTTCTATCAAGTATATATATGTTCGACATACTTTTGATCCTTATTATGTAACATGTATATGATTGAAAAATTTGATGTTTGTCCATAATGGCAGATGACCAAACTTGCTATCATACCATTCACTGTTCTTTTAGAAACCCTCTTCTTCAACAAGAAGTTTAGGTGAACCAAACTTGCTATAAAACTATTTCGATATTTTCTACTGTTTACATATATAAATTATTTTTAAAAATGACATATTTTGGTTTTGCAGCCAGAAGATAAAGTTCTCTTTATTTTTGCTACTGGTTGGGGTTGGTATAGCATCAATCACAGATCTTCAGCTCAACTTTGTTGGCTCTGTTCTCTCTCTCCTTGCCATTGCCACAACTTGCGTCGGCCAAATTGTATGCTTTAAGTTTCATTAATCGATGTTTAATAGTTAACCCATAGTATGATTAATATGACTAATAAAATGTTGTGGTGAAGCTAACAAACACAATCCAGAAGAGACTGAACGTGACATCAACACAACTCCTATACCAATCGGCCCCGTTCCAAGCCGCTATACTCTTCGTCTCGGGTCCGTTTGTCGACAAATACCTCACTCGCCTCAATGTTTTCTCCTTCCATTACTCTCCCATCGTCGCGGTAATTTTACATCGTTAATTCTATTTATTGTCGATTGGTGTTAAAATATAATTAGAATCATAATGATGGATTAGTCCGGCCCATTTTGAGCTATGATTGTATCATAACATTCCTAGATGGGTACTAGAATTTTGTGAAATTTGACGATGATGAATCATGCAGGGGTTCATAACGTTGTCGTGTTTGATAGCGGTTTCGGTTAACTTCAGTACGTTTTTAGTGATTGGAAAGACATCTCCAGTGACATACCAAGTCTTGGGACATCTCAAAACGTGTTTGGTGCTCGCATTTGGTTACACTCTCCTCCACGATCCTTTCACTCCTCGTAACATCGCAGGAATCCTCATCGCGGTCCTCGGCATGCTTCTCTACTCCTACTTCTGCTCAGTTGCTTCTAAATCCAAACAAGCCTCCTCCGAGTCTACTTTTCTTGTACGTAACCACACAAAAATGAAAAGATAGAAGTAATGAGTCTTGAAAGTTTCTAAGTACTTTGGTTTTATTCCTTTTTTTGACAGGGGAAAGATAGAGATACGACGCCGCTTTTGGGTCAAGAAAAAGAGAACCATCATGAAGCCAAGAAATTAGACAAGCATTCTCCAGTGTGAATAATATAACTCTTTCTACATGTTTCGTCTCTATAATTCTGTCCCTTTTTTTGTTCATTCATTGATAATGTTTTTGTAATTGAGAAAACATTGAAATAGCCAGTGGGCATTTTCTCTTCTTTTTTATATTACATTACCTATTTCATTTTCCTCCTTTTTGGATATTACAAGGATAAAGTTATCTTCTCTCTAGTGGTTCTTTGGTTTATGTTAGTGTTTTTCAAATGATCAAATGATTTTTTTCTAGTAAGAAGATAGATTAAAATAGCATACTAAATAGAGTTTAAAATACAATTAATTTCAAACTGGTTTTTGACATTTCGGTGATTAATATGTGATTAGAAAGTTTTTGAGTTTATGGAAGAAAATGATGGGCGATTTCTAGGATACTAGGAACCATAAATTTCTAATAATTGAAATGCTTTATACTCTTTTTTCCTTTCCATAAATTTTTCAATAAAATATTATACTTCTTTATAATCTATATTTATATCTATGCATATTGACATATTGTTATATATTACATGTGCGTGATACGTCTAACGTCCCGAGAATTCATCCTCTGTTCACATGCTAGGCTTATGTGAATGATAAGAATATGATAGATGGTTCATTGAAGGTGGGTATGCAAAATACAATCCTCTGAATTTAAAAAATGGTAGATATAAGCTAATGATATAATTATCATTACATTGAAATTTTTGAAATCAATCTACAAATAATGGATGCGCCGAATTATTTTTTTTTTCTTTGTCTCCGTCCTTGTTCAGCAGGCCCGGCCCAGAGGACAAGCCTCTGAAGCCACTGATTCAGGCCTCAAAGTTTTGAGGGACTTTTCAAAAATAATTTTGTTCATACATATAGTTATAATCTGAATTGTTCTCTAAGACCTTTTAAAGAAATATTGTGGGCCTTTCCTATACAACTAGATACCTAAAAGCTGAAGTAAAAAAAAAAAAAAAAAACGATGCTGCATATATGTGAGTTTTTCTTACAAGTGAAAATCATAGGATTTAAGGTTAATTGTTAGTTTTGCTTTCGAATTTGTTGTTTTTTCCTTTCGTTTTTGTCAAATTAGTAAAATAGAGATGCAAATCTAATGATTTGTTAAATTCCAATTTTAAATGGATCGATTATTGTTCAAATGATTTGTTAAATTCCTTTGTTAAGCTATGAGACAAACACCGAAACACTTCCACCAAATTTCAAATCCGTTTGTATTAGAAAATTGTCACAGTTCAAAGTTTTATATAGTCATATATATCTTATAGCCACGAACAGAGAATACTTGATGTATCTTGATTTTTGGTTTGGTTTTGGACTTTGGTTAGAATTTAGAAACCTTTGATATCATGTATATTTGTTGGAAAAATTGCCCCTTTTCTTTTGGGCATAGTTTCCAGAGATTTGTTTTCGAAAAACATTGCCAAGTCATAACTTTTATCAAGATTTTGACAAAGTTGTCAAGCCCTTAGTCGACACTCAAGACCCCTGACATTAAAAGAGCCAGCGCTTTGTACATGCTATAAACCATATGTAGTGGAGTAAATGTGTCAAAAAACAACAGAACCATTATTTGATCATTTGGTGTATTGAGAGGATATGTGGAAAGTTGATTTGCTTAATTTCAAAGGAGTCTTAAAACCTACAGAGTCAATGGGAGGAAGAGAATTACCTTAGAGGGACATGTTCCGAGCAGCAGGTGCCCATTCCTCCACCAAAATGTCAAAACCAGCTACCGCCTCAGATGGTATGTCATCAAAAGAGGTCCAAATTCTGAGGTTCAGTTACAGAGATAAAAGTCTGGTCATCAAGTTGTAAGAAATATTTCAGAATGTAAGAAATATTTCATTTCTCTATTATGTGGTCGTATAGTCGTCGTCGGTTTTCTATCAGAATTGTTATTCCGTAATGTATAATTAGTAACCTAAACGAGTTTTCCGCTCATGGACAAGTGGCGAATATGCAAGAGCATACGCATTAAAGGCGAACGACAAATGTCACAGAATGGCGACATGCGTCGCATAACGGCGACAAGTCTCGCGGAACGGTGGCAAGTGTCGCATAAAGGCGACAAATGTCAAGGAGTCATGACAAGTGTCACGATTACGATGTGCATGCGCGACAAGTGTCGCGATCATGATGCGCATGCGTGACAAGTGTCGCAATTACGACATGTGTCGAATTCCTACGCTTCCACTTGTCACACATGCCTCCGGCTCTACTTTGATGGACGGTCGAGATCAATCCGGAGAAAACCCTAAAAGCGGATCTTGGTCCTCTCTCCACCTATAAATACAAACCTTTAGTCCATCATAAAGGAAGTTCCAAAATTTGCAACACTTAGAGAAAACGTTTGTAGGCCAGGGGAGAGAAACCGAAACTCCGACCTTAAGTTTAAAGCTTTAGTCTTCTATTCAGGAAACCGTTCAGGAAGACTTTTTCCGCTGCAATCACTACAAAAAAAGCTCACATTGATAGCACTGTTTTATAGCACGATTTTCGAAACTGCTATCGAAGATAAAGTTGTAATTTGGTTTTGATATTATAGCAGTGCATAAACGCTAAGATATAGTTTTAGTAAGCGGGAAACTTTTTTCACTTACTCCGCCAATTACTTAGCCAATTTTTCACTTTTTCGAGCTCTTTTCTTATTTTCTCCTTTTTCTTTTGTTCTATCTCTTTTCATTTCAACACTTGCTCGAAAACCCTCAAGCTTAACAATTCTGCCCTAAAATTTCTTATACACACTAACTCCATCATCTAGCCACAAATTAAACCCTCAAGCTTAACACTTCTGCCCTAAATTCATAGCCGCTAGCTGTGTAACTTACCGTCGGCCCTAATTTCAGATCTATTTTCCGGATAGAACTCTGATTGAAGGCATGTGTATCTTACTCAATTGATTTATTTCTTCTATTGTACTTATTTCTTTTGATTCGGTGTCGTGACAGTTCTATAAAGTTTCGATTTTGGTTTAACTGTGGGGAACGGAGATCTGTTAGGAGACAAGGTTTGATAGAATCGGCGAGGTTTCTGAGTTGTGCGAGTAGCGGACGTGTGATGAGGGAGCCGTCTATGCTTGTGAGGGAGGCTGCGGCGGAGCAGCTCGAGGAGAGGCAGAGCGATTGGGCTTATTTTAAGCCTAGACATTCACGGTCTTTGTCGGCGACTTTACAGCCTAGACATTCACGGTCTTTGTTGCAAACATCGTCTTTCTTCTCATTTGATTCATTGCCGCTATTAAATTCAGCCGCCGATTTTGGTGTTGATGGAGGAGAAGTTCCGTTTTGGTGTCGATTGAGGTTTAAGATTGGTCTAATTTGGTGCAGGAATAACCGAGAGAAGGCTTTGTACAATTGAGATGGAATCAAAACGATTGGTTTGGCGCAATTCCAGGAGCGTTGAAGGAGCTGCAAGTGAGTTCATTTTGAATTTTCAATCCTATTCTTGTTTAATATGTAGAAATTTGATTGGTAGAACGATGCCACAAAGTTCTTGTTCGAAAGGCGCTGGAAGTGATTACAAGTTTATAGATGGATGGAATTTGTATGCCTTGATTTCACGATATCTTTCAAATTGTTTCTAATCGTGCATGTTATTTGGTATTATGGATTGCAGATACTATAACTCACTTCCACCAATAACCAAGGTTTTACATGTTTCAGTTGATTGATAATGTGCATGTTGGTCTAAACGATTCTCTTTTACTTTGCATTCTTCTGTTGGATTGTGGCTTATGTGTTTTGTTTTCCTTGTTGTTCATTTTTTTTCCAGACCTTCATAAAAGGGATTTGACTGAATGGGAGGAAATTCAATGAAGATGTTGCAAATTACGTGTATGTTTGATTTTTGCAATCATATTGTTGAAAGTTTTCTTTGTTTTTATATCGTGTAAAGAGTTTATGCATATTGTGATAATTAGATATAAGTTAATAGATCTCAGATTGGCTGGCCTGCAACTGCTCATTGGGCTGTTTCAAAATAGACAAAGGTAAGTTTGTTTTCTTTCTTTTGACTTTGTAATTGAATTCGATGAGTGTCTCTACTTTTCCTATTTTTCTTCAACATCGTGACCCTTGACTGACTAAATATTTTTCCATGGAGCCGAGTGTTGATAATCAATTTGTGTATTTGCAGGAGTTAAAGTGAAGCCAAGAAAGTCGTTTACTCTTAAGGCTACTAAAGCAACAAGAATACGAAGACGTCACCTGTCCCATCTTAATATACATGGGTAAGTTTGTTACTTCTAAATTAGTACTTGTATAGTTCTTTTTGACTTGACTGATCTTTGGCTTATGCGACATTGGGGCATGAAATTAAATCTAGGGTAGTCAGACAAAAAATATCATCTTAGGTCACCACAACAATCACTCTTATGTATACTAGTATGTGAATTATCTAAACCAAGTTGACATAACATCTTCTACCTAATTTTCTTATCTGACAATATTTCTCACTTTTTATGTCAAATTATATGCAGCCAATGCAAGAAGATGAGCAAGCTTGGATGGGTTATATCTCAAGAAGTTAGTTTATCCTTATGATGTTAGTTTTATTTTGGTTAAGACTTAGGTATACTTTCAATGTTAATTAATATAATGATTGGTATGATGTTATGTAAACATTGTTCAAAATTTATGAAATATTAAAGTTTTTCTATCCAATTAAATAAATTCTAAAAACAGGATTCAAATATAAGAATTATATAAATCAAATTGTAAGAAAAAATTGGAAAAATTCATAAATTGTTATGAACAACTAAATAATGGCATTAAATTATTGCTATGAAAACGTAAATAATAACACTAATAAAGTGCTATTGTATATGAACATACTATAGAAGACAAAATTAATGCTATCGTAGGTGGGGCATCTACCATAGCTGCCGAGATCATAGCAGTTGTAATTTCGCTATGTATTACCTACGATAGCAGTTTTTCCGCGCTATCAATATACGTTTTTCTTGTAATGAATGAAAGGAGGTATTCCACTAACCCTCTTTATGTTTCTATTAAGTGATTAATTCAGATGTTTAAAGATCTTGGGGTTAATGTAAGTTTACACTTACATGTGGTATCAGAGACACAGATCTAAACATCTGTTTAATCCATTAAGTTTAATAGATCTATAGTTTTAAATATCATAAAGTAAGAGATCTGGAAGTAAAGAGCTTTTTCCATATCTGAATTATGATTATTTTATAGTTTATTTTGCAATTAGTATTATATGCATTTTTTAGAGTTTTTTCGAATTATGGTTTATCGAAGATTCCATTTTATGCATAATTGTTTTGTTCATTATTAGAACAAAAATCATTGTTTTATTTAGAAATGCATATTAAGGGTTTAGATATCACCACAGTGACTTTACCCTATTATGAATTTGCATATTCGATCTATTTATGTTATAATTAGTTACCCACAGGTAGACTATAAACATGAAATATGATTGAAAATTAATGAAGTGTATGTATCTGTGAAGCCTAAGCATATCCACAGATAACTTAGTCTAAGTAATTCAATACATCACTCATTAGCGTATTTAGAATATTATGACTTTAATGAATTTATGGTGACTACCCACAGGAGCGCCATAATTTCTTATTGTATTATTCAATTAATGTAATGTGTTGCTTATGTTTTAGAACTTCTTTAAAACTTGTTGTATCTCTAAATTGCAGCATTAATTCATGATGGCTTGTCATCCATGGTCTCAAATGTTCCGATCCTCAGTGGTACCAACTTCTCAGAATGGAAAGAGAAAGTTGAGTTCACATTAGGAGTACTGGACTTGGATTTGGCACTTCGTGAAGAGGAACCAAATCCAATAACGGAGGACAGTACTGAGGAAGAATGTATTTTCCATAAAGATTGGGAAAAATCGAACAGATTGAGCATTATGTTTTTAAGGATGACAATTGCTAATAACATCAAATCTTCCCTCACGGTTGCTGAAAAAGCTAAAGCTTATCTCGCGGTCATTGAAGAGAGGTTTAAGACTGCAGACAAATCCCTTGCTGGGAAACTTATGGCAGATCTTACAACCATGAAGTATGATGGCACAAGGTCTATGCATGAACATTGCATTGAAATGACCAACCTTGCGGCTAAGCTAAGGAATTTGGGAATGAGTGTGGATGATTCATTTCACGTCCAGTTTATCCTAAATTCCTTACCTCTTCAGTATGGACCATTTCAGATCAATTATAATGCTAGGGACGAAAGGTGGTCCAGTAATGAATTGAATATTAAGTTGGTCCAAGAGGAGACTAGGCTTGGTCGTGAAGGTATTAAAGTTGCCTATTATGTCCAAGAAGCTGGAATTAAAGCTGGGAAAAGGCATCAAGTAGGTCATAAAAGAGCACCACCCAGAAGTAATGATTCCACCAAAGCTAATGAGAAGAAAAAGGCAAAGAAAGATGACCGATGCAATTTTTGCAAAAAGGCTGGTCACTTTCAGAAAGATTGTCATAAAAGAAAAGAATGGTTCGAAAAGAAAGGTAACCTTATGGGTTCAGTAAGCTTTTTCGAATCAAATCTTACTAATGTTTCTTCTAAAACTTGGTGGATTGATAGTGGTGCTAATGTACATGTAACCAATTCCTTGCAGGGATTCCTTACGATCCAGAATATAAATCCAAGTGAAAACTACTTATTTATGGGAAACCGAGACAGAGTGCCAGTTGAAGCTATTGGCACTTATCGTCTCATTATGGATAGTGGATTTTGTTTAGATTTATTTCAAACATTGTATGTTCCATCTATTTCCCGTAATTTAGTTTCATTAAGTAAACTTGATTTAGCTGGTTTTAAATCGACTCAAGGAGATAGTTGTTTCAATTTATTTCTGAACTCTAATCGAATTGGTTCTGGAATAGTAGTTGATGATCTTTATATGTTAATTTTGGCTGATCAACATTTTGAAACACATCTCACCCTGCAAGATAAAAGTGGACTTAAACGTAAAACATGTGGAAAAGATTCGTATTACTTGTGGCATAAAAGACTCGGACACATTTCAAGTGAAAGAATTAAAAGATTGGTAAAAGATGGAGTCATTCCGAATGTTGATTTGGTAAAATCAACAATAAAAATAGAAAAATATAAGTTTTGGGAGAGAAATGAAGATGGAAAACTGTATTGGAAAAAACAGTTAGAATTTCAGTAAACACTAGATATACATTCCCTCCATTTCAAAATATAAGATATTTTAACTAATAGCATGCAGATTAAAAAATATTCAATTTTAAAAAATTTTATTTGAACTTCTATTAAGTTTTGTACTTAATTTTAATATGACCCGAAAGAATAAGTTATTATAGGATGTTAATTATTATTCTTATTATCGACTTAACTCTATAATTTTAGATTATGTCTCACTCAGTCATTGGCTCTCGAAAAAAAAAAAAAAAAGTCATATAGGATTATTGTTAAGGGATGTTGTGACCCACAACATCCCTTAAAAATATTTTATTGTGAAGAAAATCAAATAAATAAACATATATATCACAAAAAAAAAACTCTTGGAGCTTGATCACATTCACATACAGAAACTACTTATACTAAGTTGACTATTTCAATACGATTTGAGAGTGAAAAAAATTGGCTAAAGAAAGTGAAACCAATCCAAAAAGTTATGTAGAAAACAAGTTAAGACAAAATAGTAATTGTGAAAAATAAGCATTCGAGTTGATTGAGAAATTTGTAAGAACGTATCACAGTATCGTTGGCCAAAATTGTAGTAATTTGTAGGAACAAGTCATCATCATATAAATTTGTTTAAAACACAAATATGATGAAGATTGAAGACCATTTCTCTTTTTTTTGTTAATCTCCGATTTTTTCGCTAGGCGCTAGGCCCAATCCGAGCATCAAACATTGAGAAGTGACCTCAAACAAACAGGAGCGGACCACAGTCAAAAGCGAAAAATGTTTTTTAAAAGCTAGGAAAGAATGCAATGAATCTTCGAAATGAAGACCATTTCTCATTTATTAATTTTTCTTTTTTTCCTTTTTTGTTATTCGTAACTTGCAAGTCTCACAACCACTAGTTTTAAGGGAAAGTTTCATTACCAATTATCTTTGTAGGTCCATAACATTAAAATGTTATACATATACTATTCATGGAAAAATAAAACAACATGGACAACGTATGCCTGAAGCCTGATTGTTGAAGAAGGAAGTAGTGTAGAGATTTCTGAAAGCCAGAAAGTGGTTTGGGCCTCGATGAGTTTGGTTTGGGCCACATTTAAAAGAAAATTACATTTAGAGATAGTGGTGAGAGATAGGGAGGGAACCAACCATTGTATTCACCTCCTTTATTTGTAGCCAATGATTGTGCCATATCACATAATACTTAAACAAAATTAAAAAATTAAACAAACAAATAAAACAAAATTAAAAAATAAAATCATTAACAAAAAGATTGATTTAGTTAACGCCGTCGTCTCTTTGTCGTTTGTGTTAGCATTAATAAGTTAGGGTTTCGATTGTAGGTTCATTAAAATTTATACGAAGCTTCCACGGCCATTGAAATTTGTAGGTTCATTAAAATTTCTAATGAATATTTGCAACCTTTTGCTGAAATTTGTCTGGATGAACACAAAGTGTTGCTTTCCTGTAAGCTCACTTTACGGCTGCTGAAGGTATGACTTCTGTTAATGGTAAAGGTTGCCACTGTCGTTGCTTTTGGGACCGAGGATCTAGTTCATAACACACAAAAACAAAAACAAAAACTTGATTTTGAGAAAGCTCTTATTTTCTAACTTTGTTCTCTACGTTGTTCGGTTAGGAAACGTTACGTATTGTAGTGTTGAGAGTAATACTCTTATACCACTTCAAACTGAGAAGCAATTATATGAAAAGATCTGGAGAATTGTGATCCTAGAAGATGAAGATCATAAAATTGCCATGGAAACCGTTGTCGCCGTCTTTTCCAGATCTTCACGTTTCTTCAAACGATGACGACGTATCAATGGCCGTGGAGGCTTCGTATAAATTTTAATGAACCTACAAATCGAAACCCTAACTTATTAATGCTAACACAAACGATGAAGAGACAACGGCGTTAACTAAATCAATCTTTTTGTTAATGATTTTATTTTTTAATTTTATTTTTCTGTTTGTTTAATTTTTTAGTTTTATTTAAGTATTATATGACATGGCACAATCATTGGTTACAAGCAAATGAGGTAAATACAATGGTTCACTCTAGAGATGAACCCAAGAATGGTTCCAGGGAGGGTTAAGATGAATCTGAACAGGAAGGGAAAAGATATCATGAAGAAGAAGAAGACGAGAGTTCCCTGCAATTTCTGCGAATTCTCCAGCAGCAGGTAGATCTCACCGTAATCACAAACTTCGATTCTTATGTTTCTGGATTAGCGATTACTGGGCTTTGTTGGATCTCGACATGATTAGAATAATCACGAATGATTTTTTAGTAAACTCGATATGTAAATTTTCGCCAATAGTATACGCTTTAAGCTTAAGACCGTCTTTAACCTTTTTCCAGATACGGATTTGACCAAAGTCTACAGGATCAAGAGCAAGGATACGAAATAAGTGGTATGTATGTAATATCTGCACTGTCCTTCGCTTGGCAACAATTTTTCTCATCATCATATGAATTTCTAAGTATAAGCTGCCTCTATGTTCTGCTTCAGCTCGGAACAAGTCATGAGTCTGCGATCCCTGATCCAGGAGGAGAAGGTAGAGACGACGATGGAGCTGCACTGAGAGCAAGACTACAAGTCATGCGAGAGCCAGCGCACTGGAAGACCAACCAGAGGAACTATCAGGGACTTCCTCTCTATTATTGAATGCTGTCACATTTTGTTTGACTATATTCCAGATAAGATATGCCACTAGACCAAGTTGAAGCAAACAGGTAAGGTTTTTAACTCATAAATTAGCTAGTTCAGTTAGATTTACCCTTTCCAGTCTACTACCATGATTTTGCAGAAGAAGATAAGCTGAGGATGTTGCTACGAGTATTCCAGTTCCCTCTACTAGCAGTAAACG